GGTCTGGGCACAGTGATGCCTAGTCCTTGTCCAGCCCTATCATAGCAGACCCAGACAGTGTCTCTAATGAAAGAAAGAACTTGATACAACCTCATCACAAAGTGTTCCAGCTTCACAGCTTGCAGAGCAACCCACAGCATGCGTAGGGCTTTGATGATGGCCTCAGTGCCATCTGAGCCAATCCAAACAGCGGGCTGCTCGCACCTCTGTGGGCATGGGCTGTATATGCCTCATTGCACAGAAAGGATAAGTGGAGGCTCATAAGAGACCTGAAGTCCCAGAGCTAGTGAGGGTCTAGTCAATAATGCTCAAACCCAGGTTCCCTAATGGCACATCTGACCCTATGCCCACTCCGTGCCCCTCCCCCCACATACCTGCCTGCGCCTGTGGCAGAGGTCGTACTGCTTGCATGTCTTTGGACTGTGCTCTTGCAGCTGGGAGCGGTATTTCTCAGGTGACATGATGCGCCATGTATCCAAGTTAGCACAGAGCTGGGGGCAACAGAGAAGGCTTCACTGGAAAAGGGAAGGTTCTATGGGGGCAGTGAGCCGAACTTTGGAGGCAGGATGGGTCCCAGCTGAAGACAGGAGAGCCTGAAGCAGGGTCATGGGGACTTTCATTCTTCAACATGTGATTCACTTCCACAAATGTTTTGCTTGCCCTCTCTGCGTTGCTAATATTCTAGGCACTGGGGACAGAGAGGAACTTAGGCTGGGATGGGAGAGATGGTTAATAAACCGTTAAAAGAATACTAGAATGAGAGTGTGTCAGTATTAATGAGCTCTGAAGAGACTAAAGCTGGATGATGTGATAGAGAGCATGGGGATGACCAAGGAAAACTATGAAGAAGGACATTAAAGTGTCCAATGGCCAGGCATGATGGCGCACACCTACTCCTAGCTACCTGGGAGAGCTGCTGGGCATGGGGTACAGGCAGGCAGGAGGTCCCTGGGAGGCTGAGGCAGAAGAGTCACTAGTTTGAGGCCAGCCTCAGTAATTTAGCAAGACTATGTCTCAAAATAAAAAGAAAATAGGGCTGGGGATATAGCTCAGTTGGTAGAGTGCTTGCCTCACATGCACAATGTCCTAGGTTCGATCCCCAGCACCACCAAAAATAAATAACTAAATGAAAAGGGCTGTGATTCAGTGGCAGAGTGCCCCAGAGGTCAACTCCAAGATGGGGTGGGGGTGGGGGTGGGGGTGGGGGTGGGGGTGGGGGTGGGTGAATCAGAAGAAATCAGATGGGGTCAGTTTAAGGAGATCATCATTCCTGGCAAAAAAGGATGGTAAGTGCAGATGTCTGGAGATGAGACCGAACCCAACATGTTCAAGATACAGGGGGAAAAAAAAAAAAAAAGTGTAGCTGTAGATTGCGTGCAGGGGACAGCATGGGAACTGAGGTTGGAGAGGCAGAGGCTAGATCCGCACAGGGGACTTTCTAAGTGAGTTTATTCTAAGTGTCATAAGAAGTCATTAGAGGCTGGACCTTGGGTGAGGAAGTTGGCCTGGACTCCTCCACAGAGAGCCTGGGAGAGCTGCGGGGCATGGGGTACCGGCAGGCAGGAGGTCCCTGGTGGGAGTGATGGTGGGAGGACCACAGGGGTCAAGCTAACCTGTAGGATGTGGTCAATGGCCCCGCTGAGCTTGGAGGCCCCACCAGTGCCTGGGGAGGCTGTGAGACCCAGCACCTGGGGTAGGGGCCGTGCCCTCTGCAGCTTATGCTGTAGGTACCGGCTGAGGATGATGTTGTAGATGGTATCCTTGTGTGTGTGGTGACACTCATCCACCACAATCAAGGAGAAGGCTGAGGGCACAAGAGGGAAAGCTGTGATTTAGGTTTGCACAACCTTTCCTACAATAAGCTTTGTTTCATGAAGTTCCCCCACCCATCTGAGAACTCCTTTCCTTCACAACATGCAGCCAGTTTACCTCCCAATTTACAGATTAGTAAACCGAGGCTCAGCTGGGGAAAGGAACGTAGCCCAATCCCTACCTCGGGGCAAAGAACTCTGTGCACCTAGGGCAGAGATAGAAAAGTTACTGACAGGTCTGTTTCCACTAGTATAGGTGGGGTTTGGCGAATGTGAACTTACACCCCTCTAAAAAAAACCTCCTGGTATCTGACTCAAGAACAGCTCAGGTGTATGCCCTTTCCCATGCCCACAGCCTTACCTGTGAGTTCCACGTGCTCCTCCTCCTCAGGGCTGGTCAGTGCAATCTGTAGCAGCTCAGCTGTACAGATGACCAGGTCATGGCTTCGGGCCATGTGGCCGAAGCCAGCTCGTGGCCCCATGTCCCCACTCAGGGTTGTCATGGTCCAGCGTCCATCTAGCATGCGATTGAACTCCTCAGCATGCTGGGTTACCAGATGCACCTGGGTTTCGGGGAGAAAGAGAGAGACAGGTGGATCAGCAGCCTGGGGAGTGGGTGAGAGGAAAGGTGACGCTCATGACATGGCTGGGTCCTGGACTAGGGTGAAAAAAACCAGGTGAGCTTAGGGGCCACAGCAGCTCTGGAGGGGATCACAAATTGCCTGAGACCCCACTACAGGGAGGGCGGATCACTTACCCTGTTGACTAATACCACAACCTTGGCTCCATCCACAGTCTCTAGATGCCTCTTGGCCACATAAGCAGCTGCCCGGGTCTTCCCAGCGCCAGTGGGCAGCCATATGATGATGTTCTTGCCCTCCAGGGCGGGCTTGATCACCTCCCACTGGTAAGGTCGTAGCTCCATTCTGGAAATGGCAAGGTGCTCAGATTCCCTGGCTCCCAACCTCACAGGACTCTATTCCATCTGTGGAAGGTGGAGCAAGGTACCCTTAGGACCCACCTAGAAGCTGCTCTGGCCAAGAGGGGAGAGGCCAGAGTAACACAGCCTACCCGGGATCCCAGCCCAGCCTGGTTCTCTGGGAAGCCCTGGAAAGCCCCTTTCCGAATCAGAGAAACAGAAACTGAAACTGAGGGGAGGAGCCAGACCATTTGAAGCCCAGCCCAATCCCTACCTCGTGGCAAAGAACTCTGTGCACCTGGGGCAGAGATAGAAAAGTTACTGACAGCTGAGCACCGAAGCCCATGCCTATAATCCCAGCAACTCTGGAGGCTAAGGCAGGAGGATCTCGAGTTCAAAGCCAGCCTCAGCAATTTATTGAGGTTCTAAGCAATTTAGCCAGACAGTTTTAAAATAAAAAGGGTTGGGGGTGCTGGGGTTGTGGCTCAGTGGTAGAGCACTTGCCTGGCATGTGTAAGGCACCTGGATTGATTCTCAGCACCACACAAAAATAAATGTATTGTGTCCTACTACCAAAAAAAAAAAAAAAAAAAAAGCTGGGAATGTGGCTTAGTGATTAAGCACCTTTGTGTTCAATCCCCGGTACCCACCCCCCCCCCAAAAATGTTACTAACAGGAAGGCGTTTTCGTTGCTCCTGTGACTTTTTTTTAACATTTTTTTTTTTTTTAGAGAGAGAGAATTTTTTAATATTTATTTTTTTTAATTTTCAGCAGACACAACATCTTTGTTTGTATGTGGTGCTGAGGATCGAACCCGGGCCGCACGCATGCCAGGCGAGCGCACTACCATTTGAGCCACATCACCAGCCCCCACTCCTGTGACTTTTTTATATGTATATTTTTAGTTATAGGTGGACACGATGTCTTTATTTTACTTTATGAGGTGTTGAGGATCCAACCCAATGCCTCACACATGCTAATTAGATGTTGATGGACCTTTATTTTATTTGTTTATTTTTATATGCGGTGCTGAGAATCGAATCCACTGCCTCACACATGCTAGGCAAGTGCTCTACTGCTGAGCCACATCCCCATCCCACTCCTGTGAACTTACCTGTTGTAGGGACAAACGAGGCAAGGCACCGAACAGAGCAGGAAACTGTCTTATTTGGCTGCAGCCAGGTTCAGAGGGCACAGCTTTTGCTGTAATCAATCAATCCCCTGAACCCCAGGTAGTTTTAGTTTCATACCCAGCATGTAAGGGGAGGGGCTCAGAAGTTCAGTCTGCAAAAGTTCACATACAAGCAGCTTTTTCTTTCACTGTTTGGGCAAGTTAACCCATCAATGACAACACCTGAGAAGGGGAGAGCTTTTTCTCCCCTTTTCTTCCTCTGCCAGCTGTTACCATGGAGCCCAATTGGTAACTTGTCTTAAAAATGTAGACATCTCAGGACTGGGTTTGTGGCTCAGTGGTAGAGCACTTGCCTAGCATGTGTGAGGCAGTGGATTCCATTCTCAGCACCGCATATAAAAATAAACAAATAAAATAAAGGTCCATCAACATCTAATTAAAAAAAAAAAAAATTTAGACATCTCTGTGAAGCCCAGCTCAAGGCCAGAGGCCTTATTTGCACATTTCTACAAACTACCATACTGGATACGTTTGGGAAAAACTTTTAAGGGGGTGTCCAGCACCTGGAGTGCTGGTATCTTCCTGGCCAGTGGCCAAGTAAAACAGGACAACCCGAAAAATAGAACAGCCCAGAGGCAACCGCGGCTGCGCCAGCCCGCATGCGAGTGGCGTCTCCCTCGCAACCTCCCCCTCCCCTTCCCTCACTCCCCTTCCCCTTCCCCACCCCGTCCCGCCGGGAAAACGCGAGCCGTCGCCGGGCTCCCCAAACCGCCGGCTGCTCTCGGCCAATCGCCCCAACGGCAGCCCGCGTGTGGCTACCCGCGCCCCCTCGCCCCCTCGCTCTTCCCCTTAGGCCCCTCCGGGAGCCGGAGGTGCTTTCCTCGTGTCGGCCTCGCGCTCTCCCACCTCGCAGGCACGCCAGTGGGCTCTGCCGCCATGCCCCAGCCACAGGCTGCTCACGGGCCTAGGCGCGGTGGCCCGAGATAGGGTGCCCTGAGCCTCCCGGGGGAGGAGAGGGAGCCAGCCGCGTGCTCCGCCCCCTCCCCCGGGCTGTCGCCGCCACCGCCGCCGCCACCTCGCCGCCTCAGCCTGGCGGGGAGGAGCAGCAGCAGGCCTCCGGGCCGGCACTGCCGCCCGCAGGACATTTGTGATTCATTTGCATCCTTGAAGAGCATCTGTAGAAGAGGAAGGAAAAGATGGGTGTGAAAACATTTACTCATAGCTCCTCTTCCCACAGCCAGGAAATGCTTGGAAAACTAAACAAGCTGCGAAATGATGGACATTTTTGTGATATCACTATTCGTGTCCAGGACAAAATCTTCCGGGCACATAAGGTGGTACTAGCAGCTTGCAGTGATTTCTTTCGCACCAAACTTGTAGGCCAAGCAGAGGATGAGAACAAAAATGTGTTGGATCTGCATCATGTTACAGTGACTGGCTTTATACCCCTTTTAGAATATGCTTACACAGCTACTCTTTCAATTAACACAGAAAATATTATTGATGTTCTAGCTGCAGCCAGCTATATGCAAATGTTTAGTGTTGCTAGCACCTGCTCAGAGTTCATGAAATCAAGTATTTTATGGAATACACCCAATAGCCAGCCAGAAAAGGGTCTAGATGCTGGACAAGAAAGTAATTCTACCTGCAATTTTACTACTCGAGATGGAAGCATTTCCCCAGTGTCTCCAGAATGCAGTGTGGTGGAAAGAACCATTCCTGTCTGCCGAGAGTCCGGAGAAAACGCAAAAGTTACATTGTTATGTCTCCTGAGAGTCCTGTAAAGTGTAGCACACAAACAAGTTCACCCCAAGTATTAAACTCTTCAGCTTCCTACACAGAAAATAGAAATCAACCAGTTGACTCTTCATTAGCTTTTCCCTGGACTTTTCCTTTTGGAATTGATAGAAGGATTCAACCTGAAAAGGCTAAGCAAGCAGAAAATACCCGGACTTTAGAGTTACCTGGCCCATCTGAGGCAGGTAGAAGAATGGCTGACTATGTGACTTGTGAGAGCACAAAAACTACCCTTCCTCTGGGTACCGAAGAAGATGTCCGGGTCAAAGTAGAAAGGTTAAGTGATGAGGAGGTCCATGAAGAAGTGTCTCAGCCTGTCAGTGCATCTCAGAGTTCACTGAGTGATCAGCAGACAGTGCCAGGAAGTGAACAAGTCCAAGAGGACCTTCTGATTAGTCCACAGTCTTCCTCTATTGCCGCAGTCCGGCTGGCTGCAGCAAAATAACCCCTGGGGGTGACGAACAACTTGCGTAGATTGATACAGCAGGAGTGGGAGCCATTTATTGCAGGACAGGAGCAGTATTTATACATTCCACACAGCTTATCTAATTAGCATAAACTAGATACATCAGTCAACCAATAAGGAATCTCCACACTTAATGGCTCGCTTTTGTTACTTCTCAAACCACTCCCTCTGGCATTTTGCCAAGCACCATCCAGACTTGTTTACCAACTCTTAACATTCCCCTGGCAAAATGCCAGGTGTTATTTTGACTTGTTTACAGACTCTAACATTTCCCCCTTTTGTTTAATTTAAATAATGACCACAGTGGTTTTTACAGAAACACCATAAATAACCTGCTACAAACAGAAAGGGAGGATACAAAATGCCACAATACCAAGCCAATTGATGGCTCCATGCAAGAAGCCCTTGGAAAAATTATACCAGCAATGACACCATTTGTAAAGATACCGAGTTACAATTTGTTGTAGATTACAGTTTGTTGTCTCAGTCCAGGTAAAGCAGTGTCTCAATAGATTAACTCACAGTCCCGGTAAATCACAGTCAAGGTAAGTTCTGCAGGCAGCTAGCTTCAATCACAGTCCAGGTAAGTTCTTCAGGCAACTAGCTTGATCCGAAATCTCGTCTGTTTCTCAGCCGAAGTCTCGTCCGGTTTTCAGCAACACTGGAAATTCTTCCACCTTGGTCTTTACCGGCACTGGGACGAAGGCAGGAACTCCGGATGGCTAAAGAAAATCCTGTAGCATTCTACTAAGAAAACAACCTTCTGAATAATTTAGTACATTATCGCAAGGTTTTTTACATTTGAAATAAGCATTAATAGTGCTCATTACTCATCAGCTTCCAGGTGTGGGAGAACTATTGTAGCTTAGTTATTGGCATTGAAAATGACCAAACATCAGGGACACCAGTAGCGTCTTCTGCTGGCTGTAGTGCCTGGGCAGCCCCAGATGGCCCTGGGGAGTGTCCCGGACTCAAACTGCTACTGGGCACAGGGAGCAAGAGCCTGCGAGACTGTGCCTCCAGGTCAGGTCTAGATTTGGGCTCGCGGCAGTGGAAGAGCCAGCTCCCCGGCCAGGAGGCGGGGAAGGGCCAGTCGCCACCGCCTCTTGGAAAATCCTTGCTGTGCTGTGACCGGCTTGCACACTCGGCAGCCACTGCACCGATTCACGCACCCTCCGGTAACGAAAAGTATTTAGTAATAGCCTTTTGCTGCAACTTTTTTCCTGATAATCCTTCTTCTTCTGAACTTTCTTTTTTTTTCTGACTAGAGTTCCCGGGCTTCCATCAACACATGCCCTAACTGTTTTTGGTTCCACTGGGGTGCCTCTTTCCCTTATCAATTTACTTCTCACCCCTTCCATATTTTCGTCACAAAGACAATACAACATTTCAAGACAAAACAAGACACAAACATACTGTATCAATCTTCTCCATTTTCTCGAAATGGTCATTTTTCCTCTCGCCCTATCTGCCTAGGGACGAGCAGATTTGCTCCCGTCCTATCTTATGGACGGGCAACTTTTTTTTTTTTCTCGTCACTTACCCCCGAGTGTCCCGGGGCTCCCCGTAACGGGCCACCATCTGCTGCAGTCCGGCTGGCTGCAGCAAAATAACCGGGGCGGGGGGGGTGACGAACAACTTGGGTAGATTGATACAGCAGGAGTGGGAGCCATTTATTGCAGGACAGGAGCAGTATTTATACATTCCACACAGCTTATCTAATTAGCATAAACTAGATACATCAGTCAACCAATAAGGAATCTCCACACTTAATGGCTCGCTTTTGTTACTTCTCAAACCACTCCCTCTGGCATTTTGCCAGGCACCATCCAGACTTGTTTATGAACTCTAACATTCCCCTGGCAAAATGCCAGGTGTTATTTTGACTTGTTTACAGACTCTAACACTCTATAGGCTCAGTAGATGAAGGCGTTACTGAGGGGTTGCCTACACTTCAAAGCACTTCTAGCACTAATGCTCATGCGGATGATGATGATCTATTGGAAAGTGTTCAGTATCCCTACCGACTCTACATTGCTCCTTCCACCAGCAGTACAGAACGACCAAGTCCAAATGGTCCAGACAGACCTTTTCAATGTCCAACCTGTGGGGTGCGATTCACCCGTATTCAGAACCTAAAACGGCACATGCTCATCCACTCAGGAATTAAACCATTTCAGTGTGACCGCTGTGGGAAAAAGTTCACCAGGGCTTACTCTCTAAAGATGCATCGCCTAAAGCATGAAGTGATTTCCTAGTACCAGACTACTTAAACCAGGAGCAAGAAGAGACCCTTGTTCAGTATGATCTTGGAGAACACGGTTTTGAAAGCAACTCCTCTGTTCAAATGCCTGTAATTTCACAGGTCTCCTCGACCCAGAATTGTGAAAGCACTTTTCCCTTGGGGTCTCTTGGTGGGCTGGCAGAAAAAGAGGAAGAAATGCCAGAGCAGCCAAAGACCAGTGCTTGTACTGAGGCTACCAGAGATGACCCCCCAAAATCAGAGCTGTCTTCTATAACTAGTGAGTAATTTTGTGATTTGGCTTCATTTTTGGTTTTTGGAAAGTGCCTGTGCTTGGTCTTGTACATTTAAAGTTAATTTAATTTTTTAAACAAGAAAGGGTTTGGGAAAGAACTTCCCTTTTCACTTTGTAAGCCCTTTGACTAATGTTTTATTTTTCATAACTGAGAGAAAGATTGCTTCTGTAAGTACACAGCAACATGATGTGGAAACATAATAGGAATTATGATACTTAAGGAAAACCAGTTGACTTAAACTATATACCAGTTTTTCCTTCCATTGTTAAAAGTAGGCTGACAACGGATCATTAGGTAAAGAAGAAATCAGATGACTGTTGATCCTTCTGAGATGAAAGGGTACTTGAGTAATTATTAAACAGAATTTGACAAATGGCTCAAGTAGATGTTTGCTCCTATACACAGGAAGTTGTAAAGCCTATTGTTTTGGAAATATTTATGGTAAGCCTTCTTAAAAATTATTAAGGTAAATACTTTTGAAATCCAGCATACTTTTTTTTTAAGCTTTGTCATTTCTATTATGATTTTTCATGGTGAAAATTTGGTATTAGGTAGGCATTCTCTGTACCTTTATAGTACCACTCCAAAGGTAAAGAACCATGATTAAGAAAAGTCAGGCTATCAGGAATGTAGAATGAAGCATGTAAATCCCTGCTTCATAGAAACTATTTTAATACTGCTTTTCTAACTAAAATTGATGTTTACCTGGTTTTTGAATGTTAATGCCCGGCTAACTAGGTCATTGCCCCAATCAATTTTCCCTTTGCCCCATCATCAATACTTTCTCTTGCATATACTGGTATGCTACCATATAAAGGAAAAATATTGAAGATATTCTATGTTTTATATATAGGTTTATGTATTGGTGGGGATGTTTTTACTGTGCTGTTTTGGACAAAATAAAGAATTCTGTGTTGAGGCTATGTTTTTAACCCAACTAAGAGTGTTTACAAAGCCCTATATGAAAGTGATATATGCTACTTGTTCCAATATTTTTAGACATTGCCAAGTTTATTAAGAGCAATTATTATAGTTTTTACACAATGTAAGCAATACTGTAAAAGATGAGAAGAGGCTATAAAATAATGACGTATGACTCATAAATCGGGGAGAGGGGGGATTAAATCTTAACAAAAAACTAAAAACCCTAAATAATGAATATCATCTTTTTTGCTGCTAAAAAGTGAAATTTATATGATGCTCTAGGCTGAGGTATACTTTTCATCTGATGCCATTAAAGTATCTCTGACTGATCTGAAAAAAAAAAAAAAAGAAAGTTTATTTACATTGAATTCTTTTGCAGACTCTTTTGCTGATAGTCCTAAAATCAGCCATGGTGAAGATTTCCAGTTAAGACTTTTCTGTGGAGAAAGGGGGTGCCACTACATACCCTCTGCCCTGCCCCTTTTGTTCCGTACTGGGGATTTAACCCAGGGATGCTTTACCATTGAGTCATATCCCTGTCCTTTTTATTGAGACAGGGTTTCTCTTTTTTTCTGGAGACAAGATCTCACTAAGTTGCTGAGGTTGGTCTTGAACTTGTTGTGAACCTCCTGAATTGCTGGGATTACAGGTGTGTGCCAGCCCTCTGCCATTTTGCAACCAGCAGTATCATGTGTTCTGAACTCTGCTGTCCCTGGCATGTGGACCAGGAACAATCTGGAGTGGGGAAAAGAGGGGCTTCAGCCAGGCAGGTGGAGCACAGGACTAGACTGGGGATGAGTGGTTACAGTTTGCAAGAGGGTATTGGAGGAGCAAAGGTCAACATTGAAAGGCCAAGGCTCCTCATTGGAGATCAAAACGCACACACAGATAGCAGTGACAAAGATGAAGCGCTTTATTGGGAACTGCTGCTAGTTTATATAGAAAGTGAAAGTCAGTTATCTTAGACCAGGAAGCTCCCGGGGCCAATCATAGTAAAGGTCAGGTCATCACCTATGGTGCACGCAGGTCCGCCCTGCATAAGGTTCATGGAGATCGGGAACTGTTCACGAGGGCAGAAGATGGGAGGATCAATTAGTGAATTTTCAAAACAACTTGTTATCCGCCCACTGGTAATCTGCCCGCCGCCATATTGTATTAGGGGCTTCTTATCTGAAAGGCCCGGGGAATTCTAGCCGCAGCCATGTTTGAAAGGCCTGGGGAGTTCTCAGGGAAATTCCCAACAAACATGCTAAGTCTGGAAACTTTTATATTATACACCAAAGAAACAATCACACAAATAGAGAGAGAGAAAAAAAGGTGTTTTAAAAAAAAAAAAGCTTTATTGTTCCCTCCAAGGATTTAACGCCAGGGAATGAATGGTCCCCATGCCCCACTTCCAGGGGACAGACAGGGTGAGCTACAGCCCCTCCAGAGGGGGCTGAACTTCCAACCTCTGAAGCCCACTCTGAAGCTACAATTAGCAGTCCTGGTCCTTGAGGAAACAGCCAACTGGGCCAGGCCCAGGCCTCCATGCCTCCACAGCTCTGCGGGGAGCAGGTCTGGGGGCCATTAGCTGGGCAGAGTTCATCTTCTGGCCACCAGCCCCTCTCTGGGGGTGGGGCCCCCAGGAGCCATCTCCCAGGGTCAGACACAATCAGGGCTGGGACAGAGCTGCAGGCTTGGGGTGGTGCCTGAGGGCAGAAAGGCCTGCAGGATCAGGCACTGGAGGGTCCCTGGCTGGAGTGTCTTCAGCTGAGTCAGGGAGCTGGGCCAGGGCAGCCCAAGGGATCAGATGAGAATCCGATGGAGACAGAGCAGGCCACAGCTGTAGTCCAAACGCAGGGCCTACTTGTCGATGAGTCCTCCTTCCTTAAGCTTGAAGTAGAAGAACTTCTCCAGCGCACTGGCACAGCGACAGTACTCACTGTCGGGGGGGTTGTACTCGCGGCAGTTGGCGATCACCCGCTGCAGGTCGGCCACAAAGAGCTTTCGGGTCACGTAGTAGCGGCTGCGCAGCCGCTCTGTCATGGTCTTCAGGTCTGGATGGCAGGAGAGAGGGCATACCTTTAAGAGGCTGAGGACAGTGGCTGGGGCTGTTCCCCAGGGGCTGATCTGGGGGCAGAAGTAGAAGGGAAGAAATGGAGGGTCCTCACCAATGGGGAAGCGAATGACCTCGTAGTAGTCAGGGGCCTCTGACTTCTTCACAGGCTCCATGAAGGGCCAGGCACTGGGGTGTGACTAGAGAGAAGAGGTGAGCTGGGGACCTGCCCACTGTTACCTTGCCCAACCCGTGACTGCCACCCAGTATATACTGAATCATGAAGCTGCAGGCACTGGTGCAGCGACCCCAGAAGGGAACCTGGTCTTCCTACCTTGATTTGGGCCAGCAGGTTTTTGAGGGTTGTGTACAGCTGGTCAGGGTCCTTCAGTTCCTTGCTGGGATGGGAGATGCCAAGTCTGAGGCTCTGAGTCCCTCTTCACACCCCCCAATACCCACTCCCTCCACAAAGACTCACCCCTTCTCCTTCCCCAATGGCTTCCAGCCTGTTTCTCCTGCAAAGTAGGGTGTGAGAGAACATTCCTAAGAATGCCTGTCCATACCCCAAGCTGTACACCCTCCCACCCCGAGTCAGGACCCTACTCACGAATGCCGGGGACGCTCTCCACAGGGATCTGCCTCACACCCTCCTTAAAGCAGCTGAGCCCAGGGTAGACCTTGCGGATCTGGGCCTGTTTGCGCTCGATCAACTTCTTGATGATCTAAGGGAAAAAAGAGTGTGAGGGGCCAACTCCAGCCCTAGACACCCACCACCATTCCCATGGCTGTGGTCAGAGCCCCAATACGAAAAGCCAGGCTGTACTGCCCCCGAATCCAGTACCTCCCAACTTCCCCTGAGAGGCAGGACAAGAACCAAGACCTGGACTGTCCCCATCTCACACGTATCTACACATGGTATAGGTACACATGTGCCCAACCCACCCCTTGCGTGCCCATGAAAAGTCCCATGGATGTGCATGCACACCACCTCTTTCTGCTTCTTGATGATGTGGGACAGCTCCGTGTAGGGGATCCGGGGGTTCAGCTCACACTCCATCAGTGTTGCTCCCTCATAGTCCTTGATGTAGCCTAGGTAGCGGCTCTTGGGCACCTTGATGTCCTTGGAGAAGCCCTGGAGGGTGGACAGGTAGGACCCAATCTATCAGCAAGTACTCCCCAACTTTCACTGCCTCCCCCAAGAGCACCTGAGGGACAATGTGTGCCCGGGCTCCTCTCTTGTTCCTGAACCTCCCAAAGGCACTGTGAGGGCTCAGTTTGGCTCCAGAAAGGTTCCAGCTTGGCCGCCCCTTCCCAACTCACCCCCAAGAGCCTCGCAATTCTGGCATGCCCCATTGGCCCCTGTTCCCCCCTAGGGCAGCAGCAGGAGGAAGGAAGACAGGTAGGAAGGCCTTCCTCCAAATGCCAGGTAGGACAGGGACAAAGGGACTTGGCTTCCTCCACAGAAAGGGGCTAGACAGAGTAACCCCTGGCCCCAGGCAGTGTGGGTAGACGTGGGGAAGGCCTTACCTGCTTTTTGAAGTAGCCAATGGCGTACTCATCAGCGTAGGTGAGGAAGTAGAGGATGCTGTGCTTGATGTGATACTCCTTCAGGTGGTTCATCAGGTGAGTGCCATAGCCCTGAGGGGAGGTGGGGAGGGCCCAGTGCTGAAGATGTCTCCCCACCACCTCTAGTGATAGAGATGAAAGGCATCTTGGGAAGGAGGTGGACAGCCAGGGATCCAAGGCAGGAAGGAGGAAAGGTGGATGGCAGAAGATGGGGCATTTGTGGGGAGATAAGAAGGTCGCTGGATTTCCAGGCCCAGTGCTAACTTCACAGACAGACTCTCCAGTCAGCCTCTGACAGGTATTATCATCTCCATTTTACAAAGGACAAGACCAAAACACAGCTATACAAGGAAATGCATTTGAGGTCAATTAGCCAGATGCAGAAGGGCCAGGATCCAAAACCGACATAGCCTGATTTTCAGTCTCTGGGCCTTAGAATGGTAGGGAAGAAGGGAAGTCACAGGGGCCTGTTCATCAAAACATTTGAATCTTGAGAAGACAATGTCTCCCACACATCAAGTCCACGAACATCTAGGTCACATGAAACACAAGAACGAGGGACCCTACAAGTGGGTCTATTGTGATAATTAAAAGATAGAAACCAGGGCTATCTGTGGAGCTACCGTAAATTATTAATTCCCCACAGTAAGTAAATGTTCTTGTGATGAAGAAAACAGGTTCACTTAAAAAGCACTGATGTGGCTGGGGTTGTGGCTCAGCGGTAGAGCGCCCACCTGGCACGTGCGAGGCCCTGGGCTCGATCCTCAGCACCACATATAAATAAAATAAAGGTACTGTGTCAACTACAACTAAAAAATATTAAAAAAAAAAAAAAAACACTGATGGCTAGGAGTGAAGCTCAGTGGTAGAGCGTCTGGCTACCACGCATGGGGCCCTGGGTTTAGGCTGAATCCCCGGATCACCTTCAGCTTTGGGCAAAAAAAAAAAGTGTTGCTGATCCCTGGGCTCAATTTGTCAACAGGTGTGGCCTTACAATGTACAATTACCAAGGTACCGCTGCCACCTTGTGGGTATGTGAGGAACTGTCTGGCCACTAAGGGGCTGAGGCTGCTGCAGCAGCACACCTATCCTGTCCTAAGCAGGCAGTGGGGTGAGGCTGGGATCAGGGGCACTGTCCTCACCTTGACCTGTTCATTTGAGGTGACAGCACAGAAGACAATCTCTGTGAAGCCCTGGGTGGGAAACATTCGGAAGCAGATTCCACCGATGACCCGCCCATCTTTGATCAAGGCCAGAGTCTTGTGCTTCCTAAGAAGAAAGGGGGCATGTCACAGTCCCTACCTGTCCCCTAGTGCTCCTTAGCTCCCCACAGCCCCGGAGGACTGAACTGTGGTCAGCGATGGGAACTTGGGAGCAATAATTTTCAAAGGCTGGGCCTCAGAAATGGGAAGGTGCCCCCCAATTTTGAGGAATGGGAAACCAAGGCTCTCGTGTGTGGTGCCCGGGGGTAGGGGCCACCCAGGGACGCACGGGTCAAAGACGAGGCGGGCGATATACTCCTTGGGCATGCGTGGCAGCTGGTGGGAGAAGACATTCTGCAGCCCCACAAGCCAAAGCAACACCCGCCGATTGGCCTTTGGTGTCAGCGAGTTGCCGATGACATGGAACTCGATGATGCCGCGGCGCTCCTCCAGGCGGGCTGTCTCATCCCGAGCCGCATTGGCTGACAGCAGGCTTGTCTAGATAGAGCAGAGGAGGTGAGCAAGGGCCTCAGGTGGGGTAAGGGCTCCCTTCTCCCACTGGACAATAGGCTGGGCTGCCCACCTCAGGCCCCAGCATGGCAGCAGGGTCAGTGATGGTCAGCATGACTTCGTTGACCAGCTCCATGGGGATATCGCCCATCACACGGAGTCGTTTGGCATCCTCAAGTGTCAGGTTCTCTGGAAGCTTCCTCTTCTCGCCTGCTGAGGAGGTTGGCAAGGTCACCCAGAGACAGAAAGGCTGAAGGAAAGGTGAGAAAAGGTCAGAGGCCAGGGGTCAAGTACGCACCTGGCATGGGCTCGGCCCCTGCAGAATCCAGACTCAGGGAGCTGTTGCTGCCCCCGCCCATGGTGGGGCTGAAGATGGGGGTGCTGGGAACAACTGCTGCACTGACTGTAGCTGAGAGAGAGAAAATATCAGGGACAGGGAGTAGGTGTTGGCAGGTCCCTCAAAAGAATCCAGGCCCTCTCGGCCCCAGCCAAGCCTGCCCACATTTTCCCACTGCTGCCATTCCCAGTTCTTTTACCCCACAGGAGGAGGGAAGGGCGCTTCCTTCAGCAAAGCAGAGACCCTGCAGAGCCTACTGTGCCATATACCTGGCCGGGGAACCAACTGTGTCCCTTCTGAAGGTGGCATGGTGAAGCCTGACTCCCAGATAGGAGAGTTTGCCCCGTAGATCTCCTCCTCAAGCATGGACAGGAATCTGTGCAGAGGGTATAGACTGTCCCACAACTCTGTCCTCCAGCTCTGCTGCAGTCTGGGTCAGGCTCCAGAGGGACTGGAGACCAGCCAGACAAACCTGCTCTCAGGGGGGCTGGGAGCCTGAGAGAGAAGACAGCCTCCGCCCTCTGGGAAGCCCTAGTTGGAAGGGGGAGAAACAGCCCCCTACTTCCTCTAATTGAAGGTAAGAGGACAGGACACACCCAGGGCTGGGATCGGAGATCCAGTTTTGCCATGATGGGCAGCACAGGGAGACAGGGTCTGAGCTGATGCCATCCATGCTGTGTGGTCAGGCAGGACACCAAGTCACCCGAGTCCCCTCACTCCCCTTAATATCAAAATGAGCTGAGAATCCACCCCATCTTGCCACCTCCTGTTCCCACCTGGTGGCAGGAGGGGCACTAGAGGGCCAGGATTAGTCAGCAAAGACTTTTTGAACAGAAGAGCTACAAGCCAGGTTAAAAAGGGAGGAAGGTGTGGCAGAACTGAGGTAAGTTTACAGAAATGACTAGAATAGAGGTGGGAACTGGTTTCACCTCATGCATAAACTCTGGTTTCTTGCAATGCTGTGGTGGTAAGGATTCTGAGGCTGTGTCCAGGCTCCCATGGGAAACAATTAGTAACATCTACAAGGGGTGTGGGAGGGGGTAGCGTTAGCTCGGGCCATGTACCTGCCATCCCCAGACTAGTACGTGCAAAGGCAAATACTAGCAAGTTGCTTCTGGGCCATGGGCAAGTCTGCCAGGTAGACACCCAGATCCCAGAAGGCCCATGGAGGGAGAGGAGGGAGCAATCCAGGAAGCCTTCCTGGAAAAAAGGGGACAACAGCGAGGATGTGAACTTGGGGCAAAACCCCAACAGGCCAGACTGAGCCTTACTTGGGAAAGTGAGTAAGGATGAGGGTCCTCTTCTCAGGCACCAGCTTGTCCTTTTCTACTCGGAACTTTTCCAGCAGCTGCCGGCGAGTAACAGTGAAAATGGACCGTAGAAGGCTTCGTCCAAAGACGTGGGTGGTCTCATAGCGGGGGAGGCTATCGCAGCTCTGGGGTACATGGCAGTAACACAGCCATCTGGAGGTAGAGGGTTGGCAGGTGAGGGTGGAAACCACTGAACCTGGTTCACAAGCCTCCCCCATGAGTGCCTGGCTGGACCTACCTGGTGTAATTGACCTTGTAGGTAGCCACATCCTCTGACTGGGACCTCTGCCGAAATTGGGCAGGTGTCTCAAGCTTCCAGTAGTTAAGGCAGAGCAGGAACATCTTTGAGAGCTCGAACATTGTCTGCCGCTCTCGGGGAGCCAGGTGACTAAACTTGTACTGCACAAAGTTCAGCACACCCTGAGAAGGAGGGTAGGGGGATGAAACCGGAAGGAGGCGTGATCAGCCAGCAGGGGCTTCTCACCCAAATAAAGACGCTCCAGGAGGGTAGGGACAAGGCTCCTCTCACTCTGGGACTCTCTGTGAAGAGACACTATGCCCCTCCCCATCCCTATGCCCATGCTGAGGTTAGCACAGGACATACTCCTCTATGAACCTCTCCCCTGTTCTTGGCTTGAGGAAGACAGAGGGCATCAGAGGTTCCCCACTCCTCCAAGCTGCCCCAAATTCTCCTCTTACCACCTTCCCCATCCCACCTGTTCAATGTTAGGCTTCTCAAAAGGAGGGCTGCCCAAGGACCCCTCCACAACAGGCCGGGTCATCTGTAGAATGCATTTCCGCAGGAGCTGGAGGGAAGAGAAAAAGAGGAGTAGAGGGCAGCAGAGCTCAAAGCTGTGAACCCTCCCCCACACAAATGGGTCACCTCCTTGATTCACACCTTCATTCCCTGAAAGCTCACCTTGAAGAGGTAGAAATAAACCTGCTTGGTGTCTGTGTCTTCCTCCTTGTGAACAGACATGAACAGATTCTCCACATCCACCACCATCCCCAGCAGTCGATTAATCTCATCCTCTGACACATTCTCCAGGTGGGATACATGGTCAGCTTCAAAATGGACAGGTGATGAAGTTGGGAAAAATGTACAGAAATCAACTGGGTTTCCTGTACTTTTTCCCAACCAGCCATGATACACCCTATTCCCTCTACCCAGTGTGACCAACATTGAGACCGAATGCCCTTATATTAGTATTTGGATGTCCCTGCCTCTTCTTGTCTGGTAGATTTCTTTTCTCCTTTCTTGGAGTATACACACCTCTAACCTAATCTCTCTTGAGGTGGGATCTCTGGTTTTTCTAAGAGGCTTTGTAGTTTTTAAGTCACCTGTCCAAACAGGATCCAGAACCTGCCCTCCTCCCCAGCTCCAAGGGCGATGCCTGCCTTACCTAAGGGGTGCTCACAGCTGCGGCACAGCTCGCTCAGGTTGGCAGCTGGCTGCTGCAGGTCCATGCGGGGTGCGGTGGGGGGCTTGGGGTTTTTCCAGCCATTACACTTACAGGTTTCATTGGCCTGGAGGCAGAAGGTTCAGATGTATGACGCTTTACCCGTGGAGCTGGAGCCGCTCGGTATCCAGAGCTTTGCCCCCATTTCCACCGGAGCCCTGGGATGCCCCAAGCCCCGCCCCTTCGCAGTAGGCCCCGCCCCCACCTTGCAAGCCGAGAAGACCCCTAGCTTCTCAAGCTTCTTGGCACGCGGCAGACCCCGGACTTGCGCCTTCCTCTGGCTGGCGCGCTGCTGCTGGCTCAGGCCAGGTCGAGCCGGATCCCCCCCGCTCCCAGTTCCTCCACTTCCCATCCCGGGCCCCCCAGTCCCTGTGCTCCCAGCTGGGGCTGCAGCTGGAGCGGGGGCTGGTGCCGGAGTGGGAGCCGGAGTCGGGACTGAAGCGGGGCTGGGCGCAGGAGTCGGAGTTGGGGCAGGGGCTGGGGAATGAAGGGGCCGGGGCTGCGCGGCCGTGGCCGGGGTCGGGGCCTGGGAAGGTTCCGCCATGGCCTTCCCAGCAGCGGAGCGGCGCCGCGCTCCCAGCCCTAGGGCCGCATGGGCAACCGGCACGCTGTGCGCAGGCGTCGCTGCACCGGCGCACGATGGGAGTTGTAGTTTTGCTCGGCCGCTCCCCACTGCCTCTGCTTTCCAGACTTTTCTGTCTTGTCTTTTGGTCCAGGACAACCACGTGAGGCCCCAGCGAGTGCCCCAGATTGACCGCTCCTCACTTGTAATTTTTCTTGAAGCTATATGGGTAGTCACGATTGCTCTCTTCTTGGGGACAAGGAGCATTCCAGAACACAGGCACCTGTTTGGGTGACTTGTGGATTCTGCCCCTCCCAAGCCCACAGGTTTGGGCCAGGTCGGGCCACCCACTACCACCACGGTCACCTCCAGTACCACCACCCAGCTCCCGTCAAAAGATCTGCTCCATCTAGCTCCAGACACAGAATTGCAATTACCGGGGAGATTAAATGTAACAACAGTTCAACATCTCATGCTATGTGGTGATGATACGGGTGTTAGTTTTGTGACAGTTGAACCCTTTTGAACATTTTTTTTGTTACACTTCAACAAAGAATTTATTATCAAAACACGGAGCATCAGAGGCACAGCAGTGACCACGATAGTCATGAAGAAAGTTACTAGGTGTGGGATGAGGCTGAGGATTGAGGGCCAAGAAAGCTGAAGCCTCCCCAGGAGGGAGTCTTTATGGTCCCAGAGCTAGAGTGACGTCCACATCCCTCCCCATGTGTCAGCACCGGATTGTGCATAGTCAGGGAAAAACAGAGAAGGGGAGAAAGTCCCATCTGATGACTGTGCTCAGGGAACAATCCTCCTTGCCCAGGCCTGGTTCTTAGAAGACAAAATAGCCCTCTTCTAGCCCTGAGCCTCAGTCTGATGTATGCAGTTGGTTCCAAAGATCAAGTTCTGTTACAGCCTCAGCCCTCTCAGGCAGATAGGGAGGGAGAGGGTTTGAGGTAAAAGCAGCCTCGGTTGACATGCTGACACTTGGAGGTAGGACAGGCATGGCAGACCCCAAACTATAGACTTAAGCAGCTGCGAAGAGAACCCAGGAACTAGGGTGGAGGTGGGGCCTCGTGAGGCACTTCCTCTTGCGCGCTTGCGCACCTACCCAAGCTCTGAGCTTTGCACAGAGAGCCTCGCGCCCTTCAACAGCAGTTGCTCACTCGGATGCAGCAGGTCGGTAACAGTTTCTCCAACCAGAGCCCCAGCGTGGCCCTCGCTGAAAGTAATCCGGTGGCCACACTGCCGGTGCGACTGCTCAGGGATGATCAGGTCGCTGTGCAGGGCAGTGAGCATGCTAAAAGTTTCCAAATGAAGATGAATGCTCATGGCTTCACCCCTGAGGAGCTGGTGGTGCAGGTGGACGGCCGAAACCTGATGGTGACCGGCCAGCGGCAGATAGAGAGTACCGACCCGGTTAGGGGAGGTTACCGCATGGAACAGAAGGTGCACCGGCAAATGCAACTACCTCCGGGCCTAGATCCCACCGCCATGACCTGCTGCCTGACCCCTTCTGGCCAATTGTGGGTCCAAGGCCAAACCCAGTCGCGGCATCCTCCTGAAGCCCTAACAGGATCATCAAGTTTCAGAAGCCGTGGCTCTAAGAAGGGTTCAACCTAGCTTGGCCTAGTAAACAACCACCGTGGTGTGCAGCAAACTTAAGTTGTCTGCTGTCTTTTCTGGGGATAAGGTCAGAGGTAGGGGGTTGGAGCTATACACAGAAGGATGGAGGAAAGGCACCTCCAGGTAGTGGTCCACCAAGAATCAGATCTCTGGCCCTTGGAGAAGTAGGAGGGGGAAGTGTGGCCTTAGCTGCCAATCAGCAGTTAAAGCCGGGAGCAGCAGGGTCCAAATGTGACCTGACTTCAGAACTAGCAGAAAGCCCTGAGATCAGGATTGGACTTCGTGTAGGTAGGGGTTGCAGTGAAGGACAAAAGTGGTGAAGAAAGCAAGGGGCTGCAGACTTGGCCTCTTGTCCAGTCCTGAAAGGATCCATCCCTCACAGGCTTGGTATAAGCCAACAACAACAAGAAAACAAAAACAAAAAAACAACACAGAGGTTGTTTCTGGTGTTTCAGAGTCCAAAGATTTTTTTTTTTCAACCCAAGCTATATATCCCCCAATGTAAGCTGGTGGGGGATAGGCCAGGGGATGGTTTAGAGGCAAATGCAGGACCCTTAACTTCAAACATGGTCAGCCCCAAGTCAGTCCTATTCCACCCGCTACCCATCAGAGCTAACAGCAAGAACCTCTTTCTCTTGGTTACCATGACCACCAGCATCCCCTCACGTTAGGGGGGAAGCTTTTGTTTAGCAAGATTCAGTGGTTCATTTTAAATTTAGTGAACTAGAAAGGACATGGTCTGATAAACTCTGCCAGAGAAAGACGAGGAAGACAAGTGTGAGGTCCATCGATCGGCTGACTATATTGACAAGATACTGATTGGTTACATGTTGAAGAAAACATACAATACAAAATACAGAAAAAGTTGGTTCCATCCCCTCCCACTCCCCCCCCTTACCCACCCACCCCCAAATACTCATCATCGTGATTTGGTCAGAACAGGGCTCAGAGCCAGAGGTCAGGTGACCGAGGGTGGAGGGGTCATGGGCAATGGATGCGTGGCTGTCACAATGATGCTGTGGTAATGCTGCGGTTTCTCTCCCAGCTGGGAGTTGGGTGGGAAGGAGGCTGCAGCCTGATGACAGCCAGCCGAGGGCAGAGCTGCCTGTCCCCTTCCCAGCCCAGGGCCTGCCCACCACCCCAGACTAAGACCACTCCCAACAAGGTAAGGATGTGGATGCTCTTGCTAAGGCTGCTCTTCAGCAAGAGGGAAGGGAAGGGAAGGGAGGGGTAACTGTTCCAAGCCCCGACCCCACAGACAAGGGGGTGGGGGGCAAGAGCATGTGGCTACTACCAGCAAAGGACAAACTGGAGAGTATAGTAGAAACGGGGGAAGTGGGAAGAGCAGAAGATCATATATATTAAAAAAGTGACTTAAGACTTAAAATTGAATTAGTATTTGTACAGAAAGGTGCAGGTGGAATAACTCCCTCCGGCCTAGGATCAAAGTTATACGGAGAAATCATGGTGGACCCCTCCCCTGCCCCCGGTGGTGTCCCGAGTCGTTAAGTGCGATTGGTTAGAGTGGATTCCAGTCGGGTCATTCAGGCGGAGGAGGTGGGGGCAGTGGCAGGCAAGGGGGGCTCAGTTGCTGCAGCACTGGCTCCGGCTGGCTGGGTTGTTCTCCTGGAGGTTCACCCCTCGGGTCCCGCCTGGAGCACCAGCTGCATTCTGAGGCTCATTCTTGGGAAGCTTCTTAGCTGTTTGAGAGAGAGAAAATGTAGCAGTAGGGCCACCCCAATACTCTCTGCCAACTGCACTGGAGCAGTCTGGTCCTTACCTACTAATCAGTGCTAACAAATGGAGGACTGCTGTCACCAAGTACATTTTGAGTGTTTCAGAAAACTGAGGCATAAGAGAAGTTAAATACCATAGAGCTCATTAGTGGTAGAGCCAGGAATGAACCCAGGCAGGATGACTCCTGAGTCAAGTGAGCTAAAAAATCCTAAGAAGGGGTAAAGGACAGCAATGGCAGGCTCTGAAATGGGTGGCAAGTGAAGAGTCAGGAAGTAAAATGTTCAAACTTTGCCTTGGGCTTCAGACAGTGCTCAGTTCTCTTATGTGTGGGAGTCAGATGGAAAAGACAATGAGTTTATCAGAACGTTAAAAAAAAAAGTGCAAGTTCTGTTGAAGGGACCCCACAGACCCACTAGAGAATAGCACATAAGCAACATGCCTTTGGTGATGGTGGGAAGGGGACAAGAGGCAACTTACCTATTGCCATGAAAATTTCATTCACGTTCATTGCAGTCTTTGCTGATGTCTCCATGAACAGCAAACTGTTGTCATCTGCATAGGCCTGTGCTTCCTGATTCCCGACAGAGGCCAGAAAGAGGATGGAAAGGAAATGTTAGCAGGGGCTAACAGGGCCCCAGATAAAATCTTCACTGTTCACAGTCTTTACGTACAATAAAGACTGACTGGACAAATGCAGGGTTTTTAGGACTAAGCTCTCCTGCTCCAGGTTCGCCCTGAGGTGTCTGCTCCACACTCCCGGCCCTCTTATTCCACATAGCATCGTAGCTCACCAGTATAAGCAGATGCCTTACTCTAGCTTCCCTAGGTCCATTCTGCATTCTTGCCCTTCAAAATCACCAGGCTTGGACATACTTCTAGGAAGTTATCTTACAAATACACTTGCACATTTGGGCAAAAGCACCAAAGTATGAGGATGCTACTTGTCATTACAAACTACCAGAAGTTATTACAAACTACCTAGAAGCCCATCAATTAGGACCTGGCCCAAAGAGAAATTAGAAAACACAGTATGTATAGCATACTCCCATCTATGTAAAGAAAGAGATTCACAAACATATGGACATTTCTGGAAAGAAAAACTGGGGAACTTCAGGGAAGAAAGGCTGAGTTTCTAAGGAGAAAAGAGAGTGAATATATAAATTTTACTGTGTACACATATTATATGAAAAGAGGACTTCTTTATCAGGAAACTCAGTTCTTAAGATGAAATAAGAAGCTTCACTCATTCACAAACACACCCATCACCAAAGAAAAAGGACAAGGGAGAGGCAGGTGGCAGTTCCTCCAAGGCCCAAGGTTGAGCCATGGAGGAAAGGAGATGAAAGCTGCGTGCTGGTCCTTGTGTGGCCCTTTATACAGCCCCTGAACAACCCAGGGAGGCCTGATGGAGCTGGCTCACACATCCCCAAGTCCGGTCATTTCCCCACCTGGAACTCCACGGCTCTCTTGCTGGCCAGGTCTGCCTTGTTACCCGCGAGTGCAATGACGATGTTGGGGCTGGCCTGCCTCTGTAACTCCTTCACCCAGTTCTTGGCCCGTGCAAATGTATCCTGAGGAGACAGGGTCAAAATGTCAGAGACAGAGGAGGCATTCTGCCCAGTGCCACTCATGAGTGAAGCTCAAGCTGGCAGAGCCAAGTTATCTAAGATGCCACCCCTAAAGATTCTGATGAGATGTCCCTAATTAACAGAGGAAATCTGCCCACATCCCACCCAAGAACAGAGGGCCAAAAGGCCTGAAATGGGGGCATTTATAGCCAATTCCTGGGGTTTCAAGATGAGGGCAGGGCTAGGGTTGTGGCTCAGTGGTAGAGCACTTGCCTAGCATATGTGAGGCACTGGGTTCGATTTTCAGCACTGCATATAAGTAAATGAATAAATAAAGGTCCATCAACAACTAAAAAAAATAATAATAATAAAAATAAAAAATAAAAAAAGATGAAGGCAAGGAAGAAGAGAAAATCTTTACTGTGTTGGTGATGTCATAGACCACGATGGCAGCCTGGGCCCCCCGGTAGTACATGGGGGCCAGGCTGTGATACCGCTCCTGTCCAGCTGTGTCCCAGATCTCAAACTTGACTGTTGTGTCGTCCAAGCAGACAGTCTGTGTAAGGAAGGCCGCTGTAAGAGAGAAGGTAGTGTCACCAGGCAAGGATGGGTTAGAAGCTACCCCTACATATTTTCTAGGCTTTGGTACTCAGAAGCCAACTGTTCAGATGGGCACTTCCAGACACTCCAGATAGCCACTGCCCCCAGCTTGGACCCAGAGCCATTTCAGTACCCTGTGGCTTGATGTTCAGGGAACACAGGGAACCTAACAGGGGAACGTGAAGCACTTATGCATATGCTTCAAAGGAGGATACTCAGTGCTAGAATAGACAGCCTGGACACAGCACAGGATCCCAGACAGCTCTGTGTAGAAAGCTGTTTTCAATGTCTGCCCTCCCCCACCTACTAAGGGCCTTGGGCACTGCCCCACTTCCCCCTTTCCAGCTCTGGATGAATGCTGAAGGGGCAGCAGGAAGACTGCTGACATGGCTCATTTTGTTTCCAGCTGCCTGGAAATTTCCTACCACCCAAGAGAGCAGAGAAAGGGTGACTCAAGTCCAAGGCTAATCCTGGCTTCAAGTTTACAGTGACCACTCAGGTGAGAGGCTGAGTCCAGACCCTAACTCGCAACCTAAATACTGACCAATGGGGAATCGACAATATGCACTGAGCTCCACAGAGGGTAAACTTCAACTTCAGCAATGCCAACCTATTACCAGCTGACTCACCAGCCATTCCCATCTGGAAAGCAGGAGGGGCCAGGGCAGATACATTGCTCCTTTTAGTAAGAAGAACCTCATAGATCCAGAGCTAGCTTCTCCTTCCCTGAGTCCAGGTCAGCGGAAAAGGCTCAGCCAAGGCCACACAATAAAAAAGAAGCTGAACCCAGGTAACTCCTACTAGTCATGACATGGAGTCTAGCTACTAGATTCAATTCTAGGGGCTAATGAGAAAGAGGTGCTGCAATCTCAGACATATTTAGTCTCTGTGTGGAATCAGCTTCTCCTATCTAGGCCAAGGCATTTCTTTGGCCTCTCTGAGGTATCCCATTTCCCTGGGTCCACTCACCTCCAATTGTGCTCTCCTGATACTCATGGAATTGTCCCTTGACAAAGCGGAGGACGAGACTGGATTTGCCCACTGCAGACTCCCCTAGCAGAACCAGCTTAAACTGACAAATCTTGTTCCCAG